GTTCCTGTTTAGTTCCCGTTTGTCCTTATTTGGTCCTTCCAGTTCCTTTTCCCATTATTAGTAATCGCCTATTCCTTGTTATTAGTTATCCTCATCACCTGTCTGCCCCTCGTTATCTGCCCTATTTGAGTTCGAGCCCGTTCTGTTCTCCCTCTGGAATTGAATGTCAACCCCTTGTCCTACGTGTGAGTTCCTGTCTGTGTGTTCTTTATTTGGAGAAATAAAGACTGTTTCCTGTTAATCCTCTTCGTCTCCACGCTCCTTCGTCTCCTTGCCTCCGCCACTGTAGGCAACCCGTGACAGCTGTCTACCTTCACTAGATTTTATAACCTGGACATCCCTGCCCTTCAGGCACGGATCTCATCCGCCTAATCTCCCTGATCCCCTTGCAAGTGGAAAAGGCCTTAGTTATGCTGACCCTTGCCTCAGGACCTGGGTCTTATTATTAGCTCATGCTACTTAGAAGCCCTTACTGCGGGCACTCCAGGGCTGGGCTCGCAGATCAGCTTTGTTTTGCGCTTACGTTACATTAGAAACTCTAAAAAATTATGTTTTGAGAACGTTCTAGGAACCAAAATACAATTTTCCCATAACGATCTGGAAACCTAATGTTTACATGAAGTAGGGCTGAAAATTCTGGAATCGATCGATTTTGCTGCCGTCTTTTTAAAATCTACATTCAGAGTTGTTTAGAGGACATGAGTGATTCGTTTTTTTGAGCAATTCTGTTGAGTAAATGGTTTAAAGCCTGACCCACACTACTCAAAATCCCTTACTGTTAAGGGTAATTGTTAAGGATGTGTAGTGGTTTGGTAATTAAAATAATGGGCAAAGTCTAATTCATGTCACGACCGGACATCTTTGGCCCTTCAGTAAAGTCGATTCCTCTAAGTGGAATTTATTGACTCTCTCAACTCCCAACAACTTGGAATCGATTCTTTTTGGTAATGATTCTCTGCCCTAACTATCAGTAAAGATGTTATTTACTGGTTTGAAATTAAACACTACTTTACTAATTACTGCACAATTTACACTTTCGAACATTTTGCATAGCATTAAAAGTATTTTTTTAAATAGTATTAAATAAAAAATCAAAAACAAATATTTTTTCTTGTGTACATATATATACAGTATATATATAAGAAGCTCTAAAAAAGAAGCTTGTCCATCATTCATATACAGTGATAGGCTGGGATTCACCCCTCCTAGGGACACAATTTAATGAAAGTAGAAAGCAGTAGAAAGCGAGACCTTGTGATCCCATCGTTAAGAGAGGAATCGGGGTTAATTGAGGTGGTTAGAGCAATAGTGTTTCTCCCTGAGGGGTGAGATGGTAAAGCCACACCAGCGCCCTTCTCTGTCACTGACACATGTGGGTGGTAAAGGTCAAGTGTGACCGGCCTGTATCTCTGTCTGGCCTTTCCTCCTACATTCCTTCACCTTCCTCATCCCTCTGATCGTCCTCTCCTCCTCTTCCTCCTCCGTGACCTTCTCTCTATCCTGCCGTCCTTCTCATTCAAACTCCATTTCACAGATGGCAGAAATCCGTGTGGGGCAGGACAGCCAGTGAGGCAGGAGGCTGGACCGACTGTTTACCTGTTTTTATCTGTTACCTGATTTTATGACTCTTGGGAAATGTTAGTGACCCCCTGCCAACGTGACATTCTCTCTGCTGTCAGTGGATGTGTGGATCTTCATACACTGGTTGTGTAGCTGTGAGTGTAGCTGATACATTTAAGGACTCTCAGATAAAAGTACTATTGTAGCACCATGGTTCATCAGTGGTATCAGATGGTAATACCATTTTATTGATAATGGTATCAATACATTGATGTAATATATAGCCACTATATTCTTGAAAGTTGAATGTCATGTAAATACCATTGATATGCTGTGGTACTAAAATTACCATGGTATTTACATGACATTCAACTTTCAAGAATATAGTGGCTATACATTTACATTTAATCTTTTAGCAGACACTTTTATCCAAAGCAACTTACAAAAGAGGACAATAGAAGCAATTAAACCAACAAAAGAGCAACAATATGTAAGTGTCCTACCATGGTCCAAAAAAATACAATCATGGTACTCTTTTGTATGTGTATTCCATGGTACACATCCAAAGAAACATGGTATTATTGAGATATACAGGTGCATGTAAAAAAAAATTGAATATCGTGAAAAAGTTATTTTTTTTGTAACTTATTTCAAAACTTTAAACGTTCTAGATTCATTACATGTAAAGTAAATCATTTCAAACGTTTCTTTTGTTTTAATTTTGATGATTAGAGCTTACAGCTCATGAAAGTCAAAAATCCAGTATCTCAAAATATTAGAATATTTCCTAATATTCTATCAAAAATTTGTGATTCTCATCAATCAAAAAAAGAATTTGCAAAACAGAAAAGTTCAAGTTGATTAAAGTATGTTCATTTATGCACACAATACTTGGTCAGGGCTCCTTTAGCACAAACTCCAGCATCAGTGAGGTGTGGCATGGAAGCGATCAGCCTGTGGCACTGCTGAGGCACTATTGAGCCTTCAGCTCGTCTG